AGCCCATCTGAAAAACACCGAGAATTTATTTTAAATTTAATAAAAGGTATACACGATGAAGACGAAAATACAAGTGACGTTATAAATAATTTGGAATCAGATGACACAAATATRGATTTGAATGATGACGACAGTGAAAATAACACTTCTAATGCAATAGGATCTTTTTTAGAAAATATAAAGCAAAAAAGTATGGCAAATGCTTTACTAAAAGGTAACAGAATATCGGCATATTTTTTACCAGAACTGTTACCGCATATGATGAGACTTTGCAAACATTTTCCACTATGGAYCAATATTCTTCGTAATGTTTTCAAGTCTCCGTATAAGAATGGTTCTTCTGCAGCTGTGGAAAACGATTTTAAAGAATTAAAAACGCAAATCCTAAGGTTTGAAGTGCAGCCTATGACCGCTGATAGATTTATAAACAAACATTTGACGAATATCAACAATAATATAAAACTGTTTAAAAGTAAACAACTAWGGCACTCTTATCCTTCTAAAATTAATTCGAGCTACAGTCCTAAAATAAAAAGTAATGATAATATTTTTGAATTTGAAATTGAAACTAACATTAGTAATATAAAATCGGAAGAAGTTGAAAATAAGAAATTAAAAATTATAAATCATTTAGACATTGAAGACATAGTAGAATCTGGTGATAAATATTTACAGGTATCAAAGTATGTCAAAGAATCCGATTCTGAATGCTGTCAACCTACAGAAAACAATGGACAATTAAAAACTGATGATGATTCTGATCAAAACTTGACAATTATTGAGAGTGCATCAGAAATGTCTGATGATAACTCGTACTCTGAATATAACAGCAAAACTAAAAAAGAACCAATGTCAGATGATTCAATCAATGCCGTAGAAAATTGGAAAGGAAAAGGAAAAGGAGAAAATATTTATGATAAACCAAWACAAAAGAAAAGAAAAACCAAGTACATGGAATCAACAAAAGAAATTGATCGTATATTGTCTTTAAAACGTACACGTTCAACATTAAACACCTTGTTAATTAATGGAAACATGAAGACGCYTGTCTCTATATCAAAAAAATCATTTCTTGTTCAAAACACATGTCCATTTGACGCAGTTTCTGTTTTG